CAAGAGCCAATGGGAGGAGTGGGATTATGGGGAGGGGACATGTTCATGCAATTCACCTGGATCAAGAACACAAAACAAGAAGCCAGTTGCAGCAATGTTTTGAGTTCAGATTGGGATATCTCAAGATTGGGATGTCTAAATCATAGACATTTATATGAGAAGATAAACGGCTGGAAATCTATGTATGAAACTCTGGGGAGTGGTTGGCTGGAAGTACATACTTGGAAACCATCAGCAGTAGGTGGTAGTTGAAGCCATGGAGATGGGCAAGCAGAGGAGGAAAGAAGTTCAACAATGCAGAATAAAATAGCCAGAGATGGAGGAGAACCATAACTGAGTAGTGACTTTGAAGCCAACGAGAGAATTTTGAAAAGAGATGATTAACAGGATCAAATGCAGTGCACTGAGCCCATTTCTGGGGACATGTCTAAGTGTTTGGCACAACCCTTGAAATCAAGGGCCCAACAGTCTAGCTGAAAGGAGAACACAAACATATGAAACAATTAGGAAATCATTCAATTAGAGTAAATTGTCTTATTACTGTAACAGACAAGTGCAATATAGATCCATCCATTTATTCTGCAAACATATTGAGCTCCTACTGTGTGCCAGACATTTCGTTTTTGGAAGAGGCGATTGGGCTTTTTTAAAAGAAGGGCATGACTTAGTTATGGAGGTGGAAATGATATTCTAAGTGAAAAAGAACAAAAGCTGAGTAATTTAGGCACATGAGGAGAGGGGGTGGAAAGGATGCAGTCTTGGCAAGAGTCTAAGAAGGGGGGACTATCTGGGAAGAAAGCCTGGCTAGGTGAGTTTGTGCCAGAGATTGGAGGGCTGGAGGGCACCCGTCAGAGTGTAATTAGTTCCAGAAGTATTCCCGATCCGGTATATTTTCTAGGTGCTATCTACCCACCTACCTAGGAGCCAGTGGGGCCACTGCTTTCTGCAGACCTTGGACATGCAGAAAGTGCAAGCTTCTACAGGGGCCACCAAATACGTATCGAATTGCCGTCAGATACGGAGAGGAGATTATAACTAGATATCAAGGGAAAGCATAATTAGAGGAAAGCTTTAGATATCACAGCAGTTTCCATGGCCCTGATCTACACATGAGCTTTTTCAAATAGCAGGTGCAGGAGACTGGGAGATCCCAAGCGTCCATCATAACACCTATACTGCAGTGGCTCTGGGTGGACCGATCAGCAGCCAGGCGTATGGCCAGGTAGATAGTATGATGAATAGTGATATGGGCAAATTCGTGGAGGGTGAACCACTACCAGTCTGAACGCTACCAGTCTTGCCTGGCGGACCTGGGAACAAAGCTTGCTTCCCCCAGGACGGCCCTGAGGGTGCAGTTCTCCGAATGGCTGGAAGAGGGCGCTGCGGATCGCACTGGTCCGGTAAAGTCCGAGGTCGACCCAGAGTCCTGGGAGGCGAGGGGTGGGGAAGCCAAGCTAGGTCTCCTCCCAGAAAACCCGAAGCTGCTGAAATCTTCCGCAGAGCGCCTGGCGGGGGTGTTAATGCGGCTGCTTGAAACTTTGCCTGGACCCAGTGTTGGGGGTTGGGGGGAAGGATGGGAGATTGGAGAGGGGAAAGGAACAGAGAAACCCCAGAGCGCTGCTGGCAACTCTGAGGAAATCACGACTACTATAGGCCCTCGGGCTCACACTGCTGGGGCTTCGGTTTGATGGGAGACGGAAGGGTGGAAGAGCTGCAGGTTTCAGCTATCTAAAGTTGAATGCAGCTGCACAGGTCCTAGGGCGAAACAGCCGCGGCGCCGCGAGGAACCTTCTTGAATCTTGTCATTTCAGCTTCAGCAGTCGCTCCAAAACTTTCTTCCGAACTGCACGCGCTTCCTAGGATGTTCCCATTCCTTAGGATGGGGGCTTCCTATCTGTCCAGAGTATGGCGAAATCACCACCGTCCACCCTGTCTCGCCCACTTACAGGCTTTTAATTTAAACAGGAACGAAGAACTGGGAGCAAACAAGCCAATCCGCTACAGGGCTCTGGCTCTACTTATGCCTCTGTCTTCCAGGGCGCCCCGCATCGGCCTCGCTGGGTCTCCCAGCAGCTGTAGGTCGGCCCCCTCCCCACTTCCCACCCCAGTATCGGTTTCTCCGCATTTCAAAGGATGCTGCTAGCGCTGAATTTCCTCCTTCTCTCTACTTTGTAAACCAATCCCCGAAGTCGCTGCTACCCAAGATCTCTTCCGCCAGGGGGCGCCTTGACTATAGGGGCTCTGGCTGTAACTTGGGACAAGTTGAATTAGGCTTGAACCGTGTGACATGAAAATAGGCAAGTTCTGAGACCACAGGTGTGAACCTCTTGGAAGACTTGACCTGACAGAGGAAAAGGTTCTTTGACACTAAAGGCCGGAGAATGGACTCTCCTCCCTGGGAGGACTCCCACTCCAACACCAGACAGCGCCAGTGCAGGGAGAAGGTGACACTGGAGCTACTCTCAGACATCCCAGCGTAGCCTCCCCCTCCACGCCCCCCGCCCGGGCCTGCGCAGAGGCCACGGCTTGAGGAGGGTGTCCGCAAAAGGAAGGTGGCCCGCGAAGACCCTAGATGCTCAAGTCCAGACAGGGAGCAGTGAGAGAGCGCGCCTTAGCTCCGAATCTGTTCCTCGAGCAGCCTCTTCGAAAGCCTCCTCGGGAAAGTCCCCTACTACAGCCCCTGCCCTCCACCCACCTTCTTCGAATAGATCTCTCAGAGGCTCTCAATTCTGGTGCCTGGGAAAAAAGCGCAAGGGGTTCCGGTGAGATCCTTCAGGGAGAGAAAGACGCCCTCCA